CTGAAATCTCAAAACATGGCTTCTTGGAGACAGCTTCTTCCATTTCCTTGATGTAGGGATGACCAAGATGGCCAAGATGATTGACGAGCGGCAGCAAGAACTTACTCATCAGGAGCACCGAGTCATGCTGGTCAACTCCATGAACACAGTGAAGGAGCTCCTCCCTGTCCTTATTTCAGGTAAGCCTCGAGCACCGAGTCATGCTGGTCAACTCCATGAACACAGTGAAGGAGCTCCTCCCTGTCCTTATTTCAGGTAAGCCTCGATCAAAGCACGTATGGAGACCATGGGGTTGCGTGAAGGAAGACATGTACCATACATTTGTGAAGCAGAGGAATACGCATAGTGAAAGGTGTTCAAACATTCTTATATGTCTGATAAACCGGCTGGATACAAATCGAGGATGTTTTTTTTTAAAATAAAAATCGGATTAAAAAAAATTAAATAGGATTTAAAAAAAAATTAAATAGGATTTTTATCAACTTTATTTTAATAAAATGCTTTTGAAGTAAAAATCTATCTTAAGGTAGTTTTCTTTTTAAGATACATTAATAATTTAGTTTATTCAGCATGAAATGGAGCTTAGTTATGTAGTATGATGCTGCATATCCTGCAATATTCAGACAGTGGTGAAATTCAATCTTTGTGGGCGTGGCTTGGTGGGCGTGGCAGGGAAAGGATACTGCAAAATCCCCACTCCCACCCGACTCTGGGGCCAGCCAGAGGTGATATTTACTGGTTCTTTGAACTACTCAAAATTTCCTCTATAGGTTCTCCAGAACCTGTCAGAACCCGCTGAATTTCACCCTTGTATTCGGATTGTCGGTGAGTCACAAACAGCAGGTCAGAGGAGGAGCTGCTGTGGGACAGAGATGACAGCTGCTCTTTAAAAATTATGATTTAAATCAACTTGATTTAAATCAAATCCACCCTGGCTAACAATGGTGGCAGTGAAGATGTGTCACTGCCACGTTACCAGCTGTCCCATTAAAGTGAATGGAACGGTCGTTGAGTCAACAGTGGGACAGAGGAGGAGCCACTGCAGGAAAGAGATGACAGTTGCTCTTTAAAAATTATGATTTAAATCGAGTTGATTTAAATCAAGTCTTTTTACTAGTGATTTAAACCAACTTGATTTAAATCAAATGCACCCTGCTGATAAACCCTACTGTATAATTAAATCTATGGTTTTATTTGTGGCTGTCTGGTGGGGTGGAGACGTTCTCAGCTGACATAGCCTACATATCTCCTATTTATGTTCTGGAAGATGGGCTTCCTGAGACATGTGAATGGATGGGCTATTTATATATTGTTATATTTGTGAGACTTGCCTTGAGTGGGCACTGCAGTTCAGATTAAGATCTTGCTACTGTTTGATTTCAGATCAAGTCTCTACATTTGTTGAAAAGCACAAACGTTTAGCTCAAACAATAGCAATAATTGTGATTAAGGAAGGAAATGTTACTTAACACTGACAGTCTGCGCTTGAAATCTTGACAAGGAAGAAAATGCTCCTTCTGATTATTTAAAAAAAAGAAAAAATCTGCAAATGTGAATTGCACAAGCATTTTTTTAAAGACTTGAAGAATGGAATTCCGAAAGTAATAGCTTCAATTATCAACAATGTCAGTAACGATGGTGCTTCTATGGATAGGCTACGTTCGTGATGGCAAATCTATGACACATGTGCCACAGCAGGCACACAGAGCCCTCTCTCGGGGTACAAGAGCTGTCACCCCAGCTCAGTTCTGCTGTGCATGCGTGTGCACCTCCCGCCGGCCAGCTAAATTTTGGGTCTTTGCTGCACATGTGCAGAAGGCAGGGTGCATGTGTGGGGGGGTGTCATGCATGGGGGTTCACACGCACTTGTGTTGGTATCATGCACATGTGTAGGTTGGGGTGCACAAGGGGGGTTGTGCACAAATGCGTGGGGGCAGGGTGCACACAGAGGGGTCATGTGCACATGCACGGGTACACATGCATTGCCTTATGCATGCGAGCTTTTGGCACTCTGCGCCAAAAGGTTAACCATCACTGGGCTATGTCCAAAAGATGTTTTTGAAGAAATGTTAGATGTGAAACAAATTTTATCTGTCAAGATAGAAATGATATCAAAAGTGGATTTAATTCTGCCATAGGGCAAAGAAGAAATCAAGATAAATCAAATCCTACAACGGTGTTTGAATGAACAAAAGATTAAGTCTGTTAGAAGTAAAAGGAAAGGATATAAATATAGTTTATTTGATCAAGATCAAAATAAGATATTACTTCTGGCTACCCTTTTTGGGCTTTCTGCTTGACAACAAGACTGAAAAAATAATTTATGGATTTGTTTATAGATAAACAGATATGGGGTATGGGATAAAGAGATAAATGTAACTTTGGAGGGAGTGAAGAGTAACTACAATTGTTTAAATAGTTGTGATGAAGGTTGGAAGTCACTTCCTTATGTATTTTTTTCTCTTTATGCTTTCTAAGCTGTTTTCTTCTTTTTTCTTTCCTTACGTTTGTATCATATTCTACTATTATAATCAATTCGGGGAAGTGGCCATAGGGTATCTTCATTTATTCTGCCCATGTTTATGTAAAAGGACATTTCCTAGTGTATCTTCCTGATATCGTTTGACCCTCTGTGTCATTTCTGCAGCAATGAAGATTTTTGTAACAACTAAAAACTCTCGGAGCCAGGGAATCGAGGAAGCCTTGAAAAACCGCAAATTTACAGTGGAGAAGATGAGTACAGAAATAAATGAAATAATCCGTGTATTGCAGCTGACTTCCTGGGATGAAGATGCTTGGGCCAGCAAGGTGGGTGTGTTCTGTCTAGGTTGAGAGGGATCTAGGATTAGACATGTAAAAATAGGAACCCATTTAAAAAAAAAACCCGAACTAATTTACAAAGTGATGTTAGTTAATTTGGTATATAATTTTACCTTTAGGATAATGTAATTCCTTTGTTAGCAGAACATTAAATATAGTGAGAATATTTTAAAACTGCCCTGCAGATTTCCTATACTGCATTTTTTGTAGTATAAGATGCTCCGAAGTATAAAAACGCACCTAGCTTTTGGGGAGGAAAACAAGAAAAAAAAATCTGCCTCTGCCTCCCAGCAATTTGCCTCCTTGCAGCAAATAGCAAACAGCCTGTTTCAGTTTCAGTTTAGCCTGATTAGCACAAGGGGAAAAAAATCTGCCTCTGCCTCCCAGCAATTTGCCTCCTTGCAGCAAACAGCAAACCGCCTGTTTCAGTTTTAGTTTAGCCTGATTAGCACAAGGGGAAAAAAATCTGCCTCTGCCTCCCAGCAATTTGTCTCCTTGCAGCAAACAGCATGTTTCAGTTTCAATTTCAGC